GGCTGGGCCGACTACAAGCGTGGCTTCGGTAACCTGAATGGCGAGTTCTGGCTCGGGTTAGACAAGATGCATCAGTTAACTAAGGTGGGTAGGAACGTAATTCGAATAGAGCTGGAAGACATTAAGGGAAAAACGGCGTACGCCGACTACGACATGTTTGCTGTGGCAAGTGAGAGAGCCAAGTACCAACTGAGCCTTGGAACTTACTCTGGTGAGTAGATCAAAGTTAGACGAATAACACAATAACAGTAACAGTAACTCGCCAGCAACAGTAAATCGCGCGAGAGAATGTATATAAAGTGCAGCTAAATTTTAGTACAGATACTCTCGCCTGTTTCTCTTTACAAGGGAGGATGAGGATTTAATAATCATGGGTCAAACCGTTAGCTCATCCTGTTATGCTACAACCGACGGATGCCTTTGAAATAAAAAAACGGCGCTTTTTTTGGATTATAGATAATACTTATTTGCATTTCAAGTTACACAAGCGCGTTTGTAGCAAAGAATATGAAGGTCCGGCAAGAAGAGCTTTCTTACATATCCATCTCTCCGCAGGTACGGCTGGTGATTCTTTTTCCTTTCAGCGTGGCGCTTTTTTCTCAACTAAAGACCAGGACAATGATCCTGACAAACGCCACTGTGCCGTAACGTTTAAGGGAGGCTTTTGGTACAGCTTCTGTCGCCATGCAAACCTGAATGGCTTGTACCAACCAGGGCCACACTCATCCCATGCTGATGGTATGAATTGGCATGACTGGAAAGGAGACTACTATTCTGCCAAGAGATCGGAGATGAAAATAAGGCCCGCAGATTTTTAAGTTTGCGGCCATATCAGGAGATTTCATCTGATTATGAATAAAATACACTCAATTAAAGCTGCTTGGTTGAAATTTAATTCCTGCGTACGTGAAAAGAGAAAGAATAACGAGATGAGTGGAGATTGTTTCAGTGAGAAACGATGTAATTATCTGGCATCTATCGCGCCCTTCCTTCCCCTCCCCTGGCATCTATCGCGCCCTCCCTTCCTCTCCCCTGGCATCTATCGCGCCCTTCCCCCCCCTGGGATCTTTTGTCCCAATTCGGTCAGTTTTACCAGCCTAGGCTGATTGTTCTTTTTTAGTAACGTTTTGAAGCCAGCGACTTATTGTAACTTTTAACCAGGAAATTCAGCAATAAAAAGCTATAGTTAAAAAACATTTTAATAAGGACGACGTTTCGACGTTAGCATAATGTCATTATCAAGTCGAAATATGAATAAAAGGAGTACGTATTATTACTTAAATGAAAAGTTTTGCATTAATAGAGGCACTTTGCACATGAAGCGAGATGGTTTTAGCTTCCTAATATAAAGTATTTCATAAACAAGGCAGTTAAATTTGTTGTCACATTTCTTGAGAACGTGAGATTGGTCACTTTTTGAATCCCCGGAACATAGAACCAAACCCCAGCGTTCTATAGCGAATGTAGGAATGATGATATGATTTAACAGTATTCACCGCTACAGAGCGATTGGGTTAGTTTATATGGGTACCATCTGAGAGTTTATTTATGCATTATTTTATACCTATTTTCATTATTTTATCGTAAAAGGCGTGCAACACCTTTAAAAGTAGTCACATCTGAGAACGTGACAATTTTGTAAGTCCGTTTGGGTGACTTGTGTCTGTTGCGTCTGAAAAATACAATCATGGGTCGCAACATACTGACAACGAAAGGTTCTTCGACCTGCGAGGCTGCAAAGAAGAGAATTGATACTGTGGTCACAGCTCAAACAATAATAAAAACAAAAACACAAAAACAAAACAAGAAAAATCATCCTGCTCCAAGTCACTATTCTAATCCACTTGGTGTTTATCAGCTATAAATTAAAACATCTAAAAACATAATTCAAGCGCAGTTAAATCAAAATGGTGACTTCTGTTGCTAAAACACTTTGCTTGAGTTTTTTGTTTTTCACGGTGCCTGCGGCAAGTTGCAACACATCGGCACAAGGTAACCGCGGTCAAGCGACGAAAGGAACCCTAAAAGAAAACAAATGCAGCACAGTGATATATCGAAACTATTACGCAAGGACTAATTAACAAGGAGATGATGACCTTTCTTCAAAGAATGCAAGCGCAGCTTTCTAACGTACAAGACCTTGTGCGTGAAATAAACACAGAAAAAGAAAGCAAAACAGGTAATACGCACCGAAGTTTTATGCCCGAAAATATTAAGGATACATTTAGAAGGACCAACCTGTCGTCAGCTTTGTTCGCGTCTTGTAAACACCTTCTTGTATTGGAAAAAAAGAAAAAAAGGGATTCAAAATCTTTCGATCGATTCTTTTCTCATCACGATGTCCGATCGATTTAGTCCTAAATATCTTGTTTTTCAGCACRCTCCGTCTACTTTAATAAATCTTTCAAATGTAAAGTTGATTCAATGTTTATTTCCTTGTAGTCAAGGCCCGAAACTGCGCTGACCTTTTCAAGTCTGGTGAGAGAATCAGTGGAGTGTACACTATATACCCGGGTAGCAGCCACGGTACTTTCGACGTTTATTGTGACCAGAAAACAGCTGGTGGAGGGTGGACAGTGATTCAGAAGAGATTGGACAGCTCAGTAGGTTTTTATCGCGACTGGGCCGACTACAAGCGTGGCCTCGGTGACATGAATAGCGAGTTCTGGCTTGGGTTGGACAAGATGAATCAGTTTACCGAGGCAGGTAGGAACAGAATTCGAATAGAGCTGGAAGACACTAAGACACTAAGACACTAAGACACTAAGGGGAAAACAGTCGACGCTGACTACGACATGTTTGCTGTAGCAAGTGAGAAAGCCAGGTATCAACTGAGCCTTGGAACTTGCTCTGGTGAGTAAATCATAGTTGGATGACCCATGAAAGATAAATTGAACAGAACAGGCACCCGAACCACAGTGAGATCTCGACTAGCCCGAAGTATAAAATAAATAAAAAAAAAATCACGTAAGAGAAACAACAAATACATAAAGCGAAGTGCTCATAACAGTACTGCCATATATGAATGAGAGGGAAGGAGTATTTTTTTAGCTTGTGACCGTCAATCAAACGCCCTACTATCAGATCCATTTCTTACCATCGTGGCGCCCCTTTCTCAACTAAAGACCAGGACAATGATTCGGACAAACGTCAACGCGCTCTAACCTTTAAAGGAGGCTGGTGGTACAAAACCTGTTGCTATGCAAACCTGAATGGCTTGTACCAACCAGGGCCACACTCATCCCATGCTGATGGTATGAATTGGTATCACTGGAAAGGAGACCACTATTCTGCCAAGAGATCGGAGATGAAAATAAGGCCCGTAGACTGTTTCTAAGTCTATACTGCCGTGTCAGAAGTTGTCAACTGGTCATAAATAAAATCCATTGGATTGTATTTAAAGCGCCTTCATGTTTTGTGTATGTAAAACGTAAAAGAGAATTGCTATGTGGGAAGATTGCTTGAGGAAGGGATCGCGCCCTTCCCTCCCCTCCTCTCCCGTCTTCTCCCCTCCCCTCCCGTCTCCTCCCCTCCCCTCCCTTGCTACATCTGAGGATTATAGTGAACGGAGATATAGAACGGCCGCACGTCCAATGTCGGAAATGATTAAGGGCCATATGTCCAATTTTGCAGTCCAAAAAAACTTCAGTCACTCAAGATCGATCTGGTCCAACTTTATCAGCCGCTTCTTTGTTATGGCTTTACAACTATGCAGTGCTACTCTCCAAATGTCTCAAAAAATTGTATAGTTTCGCTAAAAGAGTAATTTAATCGCTCAAGGAATACAGACACATACAGTCCACAAAAGTACAGAGTTTCATACTGCTACAAAGAACTTCCATATATTTTTCAAGATACCATGGTAAAGTTTTTGACTTTGTCATTCTTTAACGGGTGAAAAATTGTACAGCGTTTAATCGTCCAATAAATAATAGCTGTCTACAGAGGAATATCGAGGTTCCGAGCGAGTTCCAACACCGCTGGAAATATGGTACATTCACCTGTAAAACAGTTAAAAAGGAATTCATCAAAGCTGAAATTTTCCCAAAGAAGCAAATTGCGTGTTCAACCTTTTACACCGTAACATCAGTATGCATATTCTCCATACTGTTCTCTATATATTTCGTAAGGTGCTGACAAGGAGAATTTGTCAAACAATCAAGAGCTTCTTTAGATGGTGATGAATTCTCTTATTGTCATCAACTTTATGTTTCATTCAGGGGTAATATTGTAAGGAGAATTTAGAAGTTGGTCACTCCTAGGGATTTAAGGGTGAATCAAGAAAAAACCGAGAGATTTTTGGGGTGATTTTCTCTCACCATTCATTCAAGTTAGCCTGGCTAATTTCTTATGGCAATTGAGGAACTTCCAAATTTGTCATATCGTGAACGTGTGAATTGTAAGAATGTCTGCAAGCGCCATGGTACAGGATACAGAAACCCCGAAACTTAACGGACCAGGGAAGGACAAAATTAAATATAATAAAGAGGTTTTCGTCGTAGTAAATTTGTAAAAAACGAAAAAAAAAAAAAAAAAGAAGAAAAATGCTTTGTAAGTCTATTTTGCTTACGACTTTACACAGGAAATCAACTAAGACAAGTTGTCCCCTATAAACCAAGGCGCATTAAAGAGTATCTCTCTATTCTACGACCTCTTCTGACTCCGTGAACCTAATATTTGTACTTTATTCATCTCACCTGTTCTTGGTGTTATTTCGTTCCACCGCCTCAAGGTTGAATTTACAATGGCCGCATGACTCGAATTCATGGCCGAGCCGGCGGAAGAAGCTTGGCGAGGCGCATCAGCCTGCTGGGTGGTGTTGTTCTGTATGTCGTGGAGAATGGGAACTACAACTGTTTGCTCCTCGCCCGTGGGGGATGATGGTATAGGCTTGCTGAGTTGGATCTATGAAACGGAACGGGTAAGTGAAAAAAATAATGTAGCGATAGTTTGAGCCGCTTTTAGCATCAGAGAGAGTTTCCTTTACAATAACTACAACCTTGGATGATCATTTGCTGGAAAAGACAAAAACCAAGAGGTATTAAAAAAAATAAAAAGTGAATAAAAATAATAATACATTGGTATTTGCTTTCCATCGTTCGAAACTAACTGAAGATTTGTTGACGGCTGATTGCGTTGTTACATCCACTCTAGTTGTGTGACAGTAATATCTTTTAAAACTTTTCAACGCACACCAATTTTAATCAACATACAAAGAACAACATTTTCCCTTTCAGGACCACTGCTGGGGTTCCGGGAGGCGCAATCTCAGGCCCGTTGGGGGGTATACTGAGGCACCATTCTACGCGCCATTTCAATACGTTTGGATCATGATTCTGCGGAAAAAAGACCACACACAACAGTTCATTATTTTCAATTTCAGAAACACAAGCACAATCATACAACCACATGGTTGAGAGCTCCCAACAGGAGCGGGGCTGTAACTTTCTAATAAATATTTAGCTAAGCTTTACAAGATCATTTGAGTACGTCCTGTATATAAAGTTCATCCTCAAGAAACGAAACGTTCGAATGCTATTGGATTTAAATTTCAGTGGCAGTGAGTATAGTGAGATTTTAGGCCTAAATAGCGTGGAAGAGATTCTACAGACGAACCCCTCACCAACTCTAACTTCATAATCTTGATGCAGTCTCGGAGTATGTTGGCTGGAGCGCACAGAAGTCGAGCGAAAGCTGTTAAAGCGCTGGTCTTATAAGGAGGGCAGGCCACCTGAGGTTAAAACAAGAAACGAAGATTTAGTTTCAAGTTCACATGGACACTTTGAAAAAGAAAAAAAAAAAAAAAAAAAAAAAAAAAAAAAAAAAAAAAAACAACAGCGAGGGACATCCTACACTAAACAAAAATCGAAAACAAGAAAATAAAATTGAAAAAAAGGTGCACAAAAATAAGCCACTGAAAAGCAACCATCACACAATAAAAACAAATTCAAATGAAATCCACGCTATGTGGTTAACCCTTTGAATCTCAGAAGTGATTAAGAAATGGAACTTCTTCCCTCAACATTCATACATGATCCAGCAAACAGGTAATGAGAATACTCAAACTCGTCAGGCTGATGCTGTCATCTTGATCTAACACCTACTTCGCGCATCTGTTATGTAGCAGCCGGAGCGGATAATTAACAATTACATCTTGGGAGTAAAGGGTTTAAAAAAAAAAAACCGAAATCTCAAACGCAGAGGAGAGCTATACAAAGCGTTCACGCTAATATTGACAACACACCCTTGTTTCAAAGAATCTCTCCAGAGTACTTAGTTCATCTTTCCAAGAAGATTCTGTAAGGAAGAAAAGTTTTAAGGTCGAAAACAGACATCAATATTCTAACGCAGAGACGAAGAGACCATCATATTTCAAACTCAAATAAAAGCTACGCAAAATATACCCGTGAATAAAGTGAACAGTACAGCTTGAGGGAAGGGGTGGTGGCTCAGGTGCAGTGGGCTCGTATTCAAGGGGAATGTTAGGAGAGCCAATTTCAAATGAGTATCGTAAGAAGTTGGGACAACATAGATTTTTTTCCTAAAGGGTCATAAAAAAAGAAAAAAAAAAAAATAGAAGAGGCTAAAGTAACCAAAAGAAATACAGATATACCGATCGGACTGGGTCATGCACATTTTCTGCACTTGAGGCTGCTATTTAATGAGTTCTTAAAACCCTTGTTAGATATATATATACACTGTTTTTTCGAGTTAATTTTTTTCTAAGGGGGGAGAGGTGGGAAGGGGTTGCTTTCACAACACTCAATGGAACATGGCTCTACGGCAGTGACGTTCTGCTTCACTCGTGACAAGTACAAGAACGCGTCCAATGGACTTAGGTTCGTACCTTGACCAGGAGGAGGCTTGACATTTAGTCGCAGCGCAGTGTAGGAAGGATCGATACTGAGAAAGTACTGGAGATTTGTAGTTGGCTGGTTTGTTTTGAACGCCAGTCCGTTTGTAAGTTCATTTCTTAGTAGAGATAACTGTGGAAAAATAATTATAGGAAACATTTAAAGCTAATTTAAGTAGTGACAGCCATGTGAGCGTATAATTTTAAAAGCTAACCGAAAGCGTCTTTATCGACGGACTGACTTAGGGACTAGCTGAGTGACTGACTAACAGAAAAATTGACTGATAGAAAAACTTTGTGACGGACTGACAAACAAAAGTGCCTGAATGATCGATTGACTGACTTAAGGACAAAACGACGAACAAAAAAACTGACTGACAGAAAAACGAACGGACTGACTAGCTGACTGACGAGGTAACTACCTTAATAGGTGGTCAAAGTATTAACTGACTGGCTGAAAGACTTACTGCCTTAATTAACGACATACATACATACATACATACATACATACATACATACATACATACATACATACATACATACATACAAAGATTTCTGAACAGTGTCAGCTATTATGGAGTTTAATGTAATTCATAAACCGCAGAAACCGGGAACGTTTATCATATTCTATTCGAGGGAAAAACCCCGTGTTGAGTGGTTTCAATTTCGAATTCAATTAAAGCCTCCTTTCAATACAAAAAATATTGGAAAAATGCTGAGGCCGTCAAAGTGATCAAATAATCTCTTTTCATGATTACTTTACTAGCATTTACCATTTATACTTACTCTGCATTGTGTCAAACATTGGCAGGTAAAAAGATCTCAACACGAACCTTATTTACATCTGATAAAGTTTATTGTACTTTAT